ATAATAATAATAATAATAATAATAATAATAATAATAATAATAATAATAATAATAATAATAATAATAATAATAATAATAATAATAAAGATAGGTACCTAATCTCGAGATTTAAAGAGATCCGATATAAAGGTAAAATAGCCAACTTGTTAAAATTTATAAAATTGAAGTTTTAAACGACATCATATTTTAAGAAACAGAGGATTATTTGCATAAATTGATGGGAAGACAATATGTATAAATATCATGATATAACTTTAGCCTTGCAGTGATTTTTGTCCACTTTATGTTGCATTGCTTTGCAGTGGAAGAGCTCTCAGTTTTGATTTTCCTTCTTGACAATTAACTTATAAGATATTGCCATATGAGCTTGTTGTTCGGTAGGCTATCTTAGTATGTTAGAAGTTATGTTAGTCCTAATCACTAAGTTACTGGTATTGTGTTAAGTGTGGGTTGGGCGCCCTCACCCTTTGAGCAAGTTTTTGGGTATGAGTCTACCCGCTTGGATCCGCACGTTATGAGAGCAGGTATTAGAAGTATATGTTCGTCGCACATCTACTAGTTAATGAGTTGTTCTTATGTATAAGCGTGGTTTGGGTACCCTCTTTCTTTGACCTAACTTTTGGATATTAATTCTTCCCAGACACATTTATTAACTTGTTCCAAATTATGATTGTAACACACCAAATTCTTGCATTTGGTATAATATCCTATTTGAGAGAAGGGACCCTTTTGTGAAGTTAGGATCTTTCGTCTGATATTGAGATCATTGTTATTTTTATCAATATTGTTTTACTAATTACAACTAAGTAGCTATGTCGGGACGTTAGCTTATAAACAAGCAAGTCATTATTACCTAGTTAACATATTCATTGGAATGCCTTTAACGTATGCAGGTACCTAGTAAAAGCAATTTCATATATTAGCAATTCAAAGTTTTATTTTTGTGACTACTGTTGTTTAGTTAGTTACATAAAACATATGATTTGCCCTAATAAACCACATAACAGATAAACGGGCATTAGATATTTATATCCCGTAGCTTTCATATTCAGTTCACATGTATCACTGTGGAAATTGACTCTTCGTTCTTGATGTTGCATTTCATTTGTCTAATCTGTGTACATCTGACTCAGGTTGCTATTGTTCGAGGCTCTATTCGTATTCTGCACCATCTTTTGAGTAATTCTTTTAGCTTGGAAAAGGAAGATTGTAAAAGGTGTGATGACCTTGTTTTTAATTTATACCACCCCTTTCATTTTTTGATTTTTTCATACTAGTTAACCCAGGCTTCTTTATGATTAGCCCAGCAGTCGAATTTACTTTCTATTTGATTTGATTCATAAATTCTCTTCTCAATATGGTGAAGGTTATTCATCTTGATTTTGATGTTCGTAACATGATTATAAAAACTAATGGTGTCTCAAAGATGTTTATGATGTGACAAGTTAAACGTGATAAATTTTCCCCATGTTTCCACGACTTAGGTCAAAATTAGATTCTTCCCCTCCATCCAACAAAGATAGGTCATATAACTATTTCTGTATGCCCCCAAAAGATAGTCTGGTGTTAATGTAAATACAATATTTAGAATGTTAAGTTTCATAACGCCTTATTGAGTTTACATGACCTCTAATATAACAGAGCTAGTTAATATAATAATTATTATTTTAAATGGCACATTTAGAAAGGACCTCGAATTTTAGTATTCCCAACAACAATGGTTGTGTCTTTTTTAAACTGTGTGGAAATTGTCATAAGCTTATCTTTGTAGAATGTTGGGACTTGGGAGTAACTATCATCTGGGACCCTTGAGCTACATCTATTCACTATAGTAGATAATTTTCATTTCTGATTCAAAAGTAGAACTTTTAACATGTGACGCATATAACGTTGTACCTCTCCATATAAATCATGTGCATTTACGGATCGCCTATAGATTTTTTTAGCTGTTGTTTGCAAGACAATATGACATTTAGATGGACTCGTGTATTAATATTTATGTTTTACCTCTACACTTTCTCCCTTTAGAATCATACATTAAACAACAAAAATCATAAAATTTGTGGTTCATGCACTGATATCCTGTGTGCATCCGAAGCAGGGAAAATGTTATTTTTGAAGAAAAATCGCACATAATATCTGATACAAATGGAAATGAAGACCCTGAAAGGGAAAGGTTGTGTTCTGCAAATGTAGCCGAGATGTTAAAGCAGGGTCGAGTTCTCTCTGGACTGGAGTTATCCAATATTAAAAACCCGGGCTGCATTGGATTCTTTGATCATAGATTTGGGACATCTATATCTGGAGCCTTTTGGGTTTCCCTCTTTGAGACTATCTGCGTTATTGCCACTGAAAACAATGAAAAGCAAATAAGGTGTGAAGCACTTTCAATCATGAATCTGATCCTCGTGAGGCAGAATGCGTATTTGGAGAGAGACAGGTAAGTTCTTAACTGTTGGCATCTTTATTTTGCGTTATTTGCAATATTCTAAATAAAGGCATCTTTGAGACAGGTTTGCTGGGGAGCCTGTTTTTCGTAGTTTATCAAACTTATTGAGGAAAGAAGCTGGATATTCCGTGCAAGACCAAGCTGTTCATACTCTTTATCTGCTGTGTAATTGTGAGTTTGTCATTGTCTTTGAAAATCAAATTCAATTTGTTTGTCAAAACACTTTGACCGTCTCACTATCAGCATATTTGTGCATTGCTCTATTAATTTTGCTATCTGACAAAACTTTCAAATGTTTGTACGATGCTTGAAATAATCCATTCATTACATGTGAACTTAATTTGTATGCTTGTGATATTGTTTATGCATCTGTATCTTAATATGAGATGCTAAGTTGAGATTAACATTATTATGATGTAGTTGTTTGCCTTGCTTGTTTTCTGTAGCTCCAAAAGTCGTACCTTTGCTTTGTTCCAATTATGAAGGAGATGGAGCACTTGCAATGTCCAATGATATTACCAACAGAAATGGTTCAACTTTTAATGGATTGAATGAGATCTTAAATGGCTTGGCCGATTGTTTAGCTTGTTATAGAAGTGCTTCTGCCGAGGTGAGCTTACCTTTTCAGGCGCGTACAGTTTCAAGGTGCAAGATGTGAACCTGGTTTTTATCTGCATTTCTCAAGTGTTTTCTTTTACTCCTTTTGGCTCCAGAATATTTAAATCTATTATTTCATACATACCGAGTATTTTGAAGGAACTTCCAATGGTAGAGGAGGTTATTTATATAGTAGAAGCGAAAGTAGTTTAGAATTAGAAAATGGTGCTGCTTGCAACTAGAAGTTTGAAGTCGAACAAATAAAAATAGAGGTGTTTGCTGAGTAGGTTTTAAAAGTACGTCCTGTTTGTGTAAATGTCTAACAATCAGAATCCGAAATTCAAATTTCGGGACCCATATCTTCCTGTTATATGTTTCTGTTGAATTGTGCAGAAACTGTAAGAAAATAGTTGGCATTTTGGAAACAAATATAAAATAAAAGAAGACTTCTTTTCTTCCTGTCAAAAGTTGAAAATCACCTTTGCTTTTACTCGTTCAAAACTAACTCTTTCAGTTCTGTCACTCGTCCCACTGAATGCCATTTGAATTCATTCAAAACACAGTGTTTGGTTCTTTAATCTTCTTCTAATCTAATATTAAACTTTGCTTTCCTCTCAGGAGATGAAGCTTCGAAGAAATGCTATATCTCTCCTAGCTTTCGTAGGATCAGCAGGAAAATCGGGCCTTGAGATTTTGCTGAATCATAGGCTTCCAAAGGGCACCAACTTCCTTGTAATTATTTTGCAAAGCTTAGCATCAGATTTGGACCCTGAGGCATTAAACTCTGCTAAACAATCTGGCATTGTCAAAGAACAGTAAGCAAATGGAAACTTTCTTTTTTTTTTTTCTTTTT